AAAATGCAACTAAGTAGGCTCCAGTTTTTTGAAGTCGGCACTTCATTGCCACTTAGGCAGACAGTGTTGTGAGCCAGTATGTAGCTGCCAGGAATTATCCCTGACAGCCGCTGCGTGTGAGGAGTCTGGCAGGCCATGATCGTTCCTGGCTCTTGTTTCCAGAAGCGCTAGAGAGGACTACGTGAATCTGAAGTGTGTGAAATTAAACTCATAGATACCTCAGTAGTTAATAAAGAATAAGCAAGTCTCACTGTTTGACCTTAGTTATTCTTGCCCGTTCTCCTGTTTTTTTACATCCCAACCACCCTCAGTTTTGCCTTTCACATCTATTTGACAATAGCAACCACTCTTTTTTGCTGGGTAATTTATATTTTGTTTAAAACAAAAATTTGTGCCTATAGTCCACCATTGCTCGGTTTGTAATTTAGCTTTGCAGTGAGAGCTTCTGACAGTTACACCCTGTCCTGGTATATTCTTGTTTCAGGTTTATTAGTTTGCACGTGTTTTAGTAATACAACCACCAGGCCAAAGGTCTTGCTTCTGTTCTTGCATAATTGTACAGTGTGAATCTTTTGACAATTCTTCAAGGAAAGAACAACGCTACCTTACATCATGTCGTTAATGCTTTACAGTGTACCTTGACATACCTTATCTCATTCAGAGCTCGTGGTAACTTCGAATTAAGAATACTTTCCCTGTGACAGATCAGGGAAGTGCAGCCTAGAAAAATACGGAAAGCTAATAAGGAGTGAAGCTGGACCTGAAACCTGTGTCTTTTGATTTCAAGCCCAGCAGGCACCACAGCTGGACATGTAAATCAGAGTTTAATTTTCTTTTTCAAAGCTCTGGTTTAACTTCCCAGCAGCTCCTAACGTGTTGGCTGATACCCTAGGCCATTGTTGTGGGAAGAGCTGTTCTGTTCCTAATTCCTCCCTACCTTTCTAACATTGTCTTATATTACAAATATAATGAATATAATCATAGGAATAACTATAACATAAGCTCCACCTTTTTTGCAAATTTTGTTAGTTTTCATACCACTACTTTGTGTTTTTCTTTTTCAGTATTTCACCTTCTTATAAGACTCTTCCATCAGTATCAGAAACGTTTCCCACATTAAGATCGATGATCGAGGTGCTAAACACGGACTCTTCTCCACGCTGTCTTAAGAAACTCTAGTTCTGCTGTGGTAATTTATACAAGTAAAGGGCCGGACCTCTTGCTTCTTAAGTTATTTTTTAAAACATGGAATTATAAAGAAATTAGGTCATCGATTACTTTTGATACCAGTTTTTGATAGGAATTGAATACTTGAAACCATTTTCTTTACTTTTCTGAACCATAACAAAAATCCTGAAAGAGGCTTTCAGAGGAAAAAAGCTACTCGACTTGGAGGGAAAGCATATGTGTTAGCCAGCGGCCTGTTGGTTTCCATTTATAAAGTCATATAACTCCTTCCTTAACAGTAAAAAAACATTTTCTTCAACAACTAAAAAACAATAATGAAGTGAACAAGAACAAAACCAAATAGGTTTGTATTCCTTTAGAGATCTGGATATTTTTCAAAGAGTTTCTATGCACATAGTGATAGAGCATCTTTTGTTGACTCACGTAACCTCCATGTGTGAGTCCTTTGTTTTATTTGAACCCTGGAAGAAGGTTCCTGGGCCATCAGTATGTGTTGCAGAGCTCACAGCCAGGAGCAGTTATTTTGAACAATGCAGACGGTATTTGCCAATGTCCCAAACGATGAATTATTGAACAATGTGTTTTTTTTCTTTGTTGAAAAAAAATAAACTTGGGTGATTTATAGAAATCACCAGTGTTTGGCACTGGATTATGTATGTGTTTATTTTGTGAACCAGTTTCACTTTCAGGTGTAAGAACATTCAGAAAATTTCTCTTATTTTTTTCCCCAGACAGGGTAGATGACAGTGGGTAAAATGGGTTAATTAAAGCTATTGCCGTTTCCAAATGGCACCGCCCATTAGCAAGCCTGCTTTTCTCTCCCTTCTACAGGACGCACCCCGATCTCTTCACTTGGCCACTTCACCCAGTCCATTGTTATTTCTCTTGGACCACTTCCGTAGTCTCCTGACTCATCTCCTTGCTGCTGCTCTGTTTAAATCCCACAGCCCCCCTTTGACCTAAAATGAAACGCAGTCTCCTGCTATAGCCTAGCTGACGTGGCTCTGTTTCTCTGATCGCATCTCTTTCTCCCCACACTCCTTTTTTTAGTACCATCCACTCACCTAGCCTTTTCCTTCCTTGAGAACCTTACAGTTAGCTTGACACTGTCCGATAGAACATTCTATGATGACATTCCAGAATGTTCTGTGTGCTGCCAGTATGGTAGTCAGTAACCTCATGTGGCTACTGAGCACTTGAAACAGGACTAATGTGCCTGAGGAGCTGAGCTTCACATTTAGTGTTAATTAATTTAAATTCAAATAGCTACATGTAGCTTGTGGTTATTATGTTATGTTGGCCCATGCAGCCTACGGAGTTCCTAGTGAGACTTTAAAGGTTTTTCCACAGAAACAATTTGGAATGGTGGTCTCCCATGGCAGTTTAATATCATTTTGAATTTGAGGTTGAAATATCATTTTGAATTACTTGGGCAAGTCTTAGCTACTCAGACTTGCCCAAGTAGCTAAGCTCTTACTATGATCTGTTTTTATTCACAAGAGTTCTGATACCAGATATGTGGAGTTTTCCCCCATACCCACCAATTCTCCAGCTTTCCATATGTCAGCTGGAGTGGAAAGGGATCCTGCAATTCACGTCTGACACTAACTTCCTGGAGTTTACACAGACCCCAGAGGTTAAGGGCTCAGTCTCACAAGACAGCTCCCTTTTCAGACGCCAGTTGCAAGTCAGGATCTTCTATACTTCTGACTGATTGGCTATAACTCAGGGGTCCCATCACCCCCTCCCTCCTCATGTTTGATAATTTGCAAGAATGGCTCACACAATTCAGGGAAACCCTTTACTTGCTATTACTGATTTATTATATCAGATACACATGAACAGCCAAATGGAAGAGGTACACAGGGCAAGGTATGGGGGCAGTGTGGGCACTTCCATGCCTTCTCCAAGCCCACCACCCTCCCCGTACCTCAATATGTTCACCAACCAAAAACCCCAAACCTTTTCACTTAGGGTTTTTATGGGGGTTCCATTACATAGGCATGGTTGATTACATCATTGGCAGTTAGCTCAGTCCTCAGCCCCTCTTTTCTCTCTGGAGGCTGGGGGTTAGGACTGAAAGTTACTCTGATCACATGGTTAGTTCCTCTGGCTCCCAACCCCCATCCTCCAAGAGTCACGTCATCAGCAGAAATTCAGGTATGGTTGGAAGGTGCTTATTAATAACAAAAAACACTTCTCAGCCTGATCACTCAGAAAACTCGAGAGTTTTACAAGCTCTGTGCCAGGAACTGGAGGGCAGAGATAGCTATATCTTTCTTAATACTTTAGTATCACACTTCTATTGATAAAATTGCTCCTGTGAATCAAGATGTTCGAACTTTTAAAAAACTGACTTTAAAAAATCTAGAGCAAAATTTGTTAGTACATTAAGAAATTTAGTGTGGAATTTCTTTGGTATAGAAACTATATGAGGGTCAAGAAACTGACATCCAACTCTGTGATCATTACTCTCTGATAATTTGGAAATAAGGAATAAAATTGATACACCTCAGAAGAGAGATGAGCAAAATCACCTAAAGAAACCCAGTGTGTCCCAGATCAGCAAGATCTGACTGTTCATGAGTGTATCTTAAGACGTCTGTAATGGAGCTCATCATTCCTTCACCCAAAGTCTATTCCTCCCCACTCTTCCCTGTGTCAGAAATGGCTCCCTCTTCACTCAGCAGCTTTAGCCAGGCAGCCTCCCAAGTCTGCACTGCCCTCCTGCGGTTTTCAAATCATCACCATGAGCCACTGCACCCGGCCACGTATGACTTCTTTCCGAATGAAGCCTGAGATCAAGCAATCCAGAGTAGGCAAGCAAAAAAAAAAAAAAAAAAAAAAAAAAAAGGCCAATAAGAAAGCAGACAGAAGAGAGCAGAAGCCAAGGAAAGATAGGTCTGCGGACAGAGGAGGGGGAGGGGTCAGATCAGAGGCTAAAGTAGAAGTGAGCAATGCTGGAGCATGGTACCACTACAAGGAGACGCAAGAGTGGGTAACAGTTTGGGCGACACTGATGGTAGCTGGTGGGAAAGGCTTCTAGAAGCTTCCAGAAGCTCTGCCCTGGTGTTGGCACACTAGTCTTCTCTCCTGGGATTTGATAACATAATTGTCTGATTCACCTTGGCTTTTCTTCCTTTGACTTTTCCAGATTGAGTCACATCTCCGAGACTCCAAGTAAAACCTGTGTCCAAATGCCTTAAAGGATGCTCCCAGGAACTGCTTGATGCTCGTTTTTGAAACTTCAAGTGCTGGCTAAGTAAGGGGATGTATTTATTAGTCCATTCTCGAAGGGTTATAAAGAAATGCCTGCGATTGGGTAATTTATAAAGAAAAGAGGTTGAACTGGTTCACGGTTCTGCAGGCTGCCCAGCAAGCATGGCTGTGGAGGCCTCAGGAAAGTAACGGCAGGAGAAGTGGGAGCAGGCACTTGCTTTGTCGCTCAGGCTGGAGTGCAGTGGCACAATCATTGCTCACTTCAGCCTCCAACTCTTGGCCTCAAGTGATCCTCTTGCCTTAGCCTCCCAAGGTGCTGGGATTACAGGTGTGAGCCACTGCACCTGGCAAATAGTTTATAATTTCTGAAGCCAACATATAAACAAATGCAATAAAAGTTACCTAAGTAAGTGGCCCTTTTTAGAAATAGTTTGGAGGAAATAATTCAATACCTCTTATTTATAGTTTTGCAATGTTCTTTTTAAATGCTTCTTACAATATCTTGAAAGTTAAGATCTTTCAAAGAAAAATTTTGAAAAGTGTCCTGGCCTGAAGTCATCATGTTTTAGAAATCAAGTTTTTGCTTTTTTTTTTTTTTTTTTTTTTTTTTGCGTTCTCTTTCCCTCTCCCAATATGGCGGCCTCAGCAAAAAAGAAGAATAAGAAGGGGAAGACTATCTCCCTTACAGACTTTCTGGCTGAGGATGGGGGAACTGGTGGAGGAAGCACCTATGTTTCCAAACCAGTCAGCTGGACTGATGAAACAGATGACCTAGAAGGAGATGTTTCAACAACTTGGCACAGTAATGATGATGATGTGTATAGGGCGCCTCCAATTGATCGTTCCATCCTTCCCACTGTTCCACGGGCTGCTCGGGAACCTAATATCGACCTGAGCCGTCTTCCCAAATCGCCACCCTACACTTCTTTTCTAGGGAACCTACCCTATGATGTGACAGAAGAGTCAATTAAGGAATTCTTCAGAGGATTAAATATCAGTGCAGTGCCCTTACCACGTGAACCCAGCAATCCAGAGAGGTTGAAAGGTTTTGGTTATGCCGAATTTGAGGACCTGGATTCCCTGCTTAGCGCCCTGAGTCTCAATGAAGAGTCTCTAGGTAACAGGAGAATTCGAGTGGACGTTGCTGATCAAGCACAGGATAAAGACAGGGACTATCGTTCTTTTAGCCGAGATAGAAGTCGGGATTCTGATAAAACAGATACAGACTGGAGGGCTCGTCCTGCCACAGACAGCTTTGATGACTACCGGCCTAGAAGAGGTGACGATAGCTTTGGAGACAAGTATGGAGATCGTTATGATTCAGACTGGTATCGCGATGGGTATCGGGATGGCCCTCGCCGGGATATGGATCGATATCGCGGCCGTAATCGTTATGATGACCGAGGGAGCAGAGACTATGATAGAGGCCATGACTCCCGGATAGGCAGTGGCAGAAGAGCATTTGGCAGTGGATACCGCAGGGATGATGACTACAGAGGAGGCGGGGACCGCTATGAAGACCGATATGACAGACGGGATGATCGGTCATGGAGCTCCAGAGATGATTACTCTCGGGATGATTATAGGCATGATGATAGAGGTCCGCCCCAAAGACCCAAACTGAATCTAAAGCCTCGGAGTACTCCTAAGGAAGATGATTCCTCTGCTAGTACCTCCCAGTCCAGTCGAGCTGCTTCTATCTTTGGAGGGGCAAAACACGTTGACACAGCTGCTAGAGAAAGAGAAGTAGAAGGACGGCTACAGAAGGAACAAGAGAAGTTGCAGCGTCAGCTGGAAGAGCCAAAACTAGAAAGACGGCCTCGGTAGAGACACCCAAGCTGGTGGAGTGAAGAAACTCAGGAACAGGAGCGGTCGAGGAGAGGAAGTGAGTCATCGCAGACTGGGATCTCCGCCACATCTGGCAGAAATGCACGAAGGAGAGTGAGAAGTCTCTAGAAAATGAAACACTCAGTAAGGAGGAAGATTGTCACTCTCCAACTTCTAAACCTCCCAAACCTGATCAGCCCCTAAAGGTAATGCCAGCCCCTCCACCAACGGAGAATGCTTGGGTGAAGCGAAGTTCTAACCCTCCTGCTCGATCTCAGAGCTCAGACACAGAGCAGCAATCCCCTACAAGTGGTGGCGGCAAAGTGGCTCCAGCTCATCCATCTGAGGAAGGACCAGCCAGGAAAGATGAAAACAAACTAGATGGGATGAATGTCCCGAAAGGCCAAACTGGGAACTCTAGCCGTGGTCCAGGAGACGGAGTGAACAACTGGAAGGAGTCAGATCGGAAAGATGGCAAAAAGGACCAAGACTCCAGATCTGCACCAGAAACCTGAGGAAAATCCAGCGTCCATGTTCAGTTCTGCGAGCAAGTATGCTGCTCTCTCTGTTGATGGTGGAGATGAAAACGAGGGAGAAGATGATGCCGAATAGACCTCAGCATCCTGTGCTTTCTCCTCATTTCTCTCCACCCTGGAACATTCGAGAGCAAATCAGGCCTCTATCCAGACAAGACAAAATAAAACTCACCGTCTCCTGGAAAAAAAAAAAAGAAATCAAGTTTTTAAAACATCTTAAAAAGTTGTGTCTTTAGTATGCAATATTTAAACATTGCCTGCAATTCTGGAATAACAGTAACCCTAAGATAGATACGATTGAAAAAGGTGGCCAGGTCCAAAAGAGAAACTGCTTTGGAGGAAAATGGCAATCCCATTGTTCTGCATAAACCACTGGCTTTTCTTTAGCCTGAGTGAGAGGCTTGAGGACAGGGAAGTATCGAAAGGGAATTTCTCAGTCGATAGTCCCCGAGCAGAGAGGTTGAGTTACGTGCGGCTCCCTTGATATGGTTTGGATCTGTGTCCCTGTCCAAATCTCATGTGGAGTTGTAACCCCCAGTGTTGGAAGTGGTGTCTGGGTGGTGACTGGATCATGGGGGTGGTTTCCCATGGTTTGGCACCATCGCCCCTTGTTACTGACATCTAGAGGTTTAAAGGTGCGTGGCCCCGCCCCCTTCTCTCACTTGCTCCAGGTCTGGCCATGGGAAGTGCCTGCTCCCGCTTCACCTGCCATTACTTTCCTGAGGCCTCCACAGCCATGCTTGCTGGGCAGCCTGCAGAACCGTGAGCCAGTTCAACCTCTTTTCTTTATAAATTACATAATCACAGGCATTTCTTTATAACCCTTTGAGAATGGACTAATAACTATATCCCCTTACTTAGCCAGCACTTGAAGTTTCAAAAATGAGGATCAAGCAGTTCCTGGGAGCATCCTATAAGTGATAACGATTTTAAAAGGGGGACATCAAAGTAGTTGTGGGAAAGCTGAAGGACCCAGTTATCTCCACCTGAGGTGGGTAGCTGTGAGGGGCTATGCAGAGGAGGTATGAAGAATGTGGGACAGCAGAGGCTGAGTAGAAATGTGCCAGGTAGCAAAGGACCTTCCCAGCAGAGGCAAAGTTGGGGGTAAATGTTGAGAGAGGTGAAAGTGCCTAGTGTGCTTGGGATGGCTTGTAGATGCAGGTGGAAATGGAATGTGGGGCAGAATGGGGAAGGTCTTGCCATCATCCTATGGAATTTGGACTTCATTCTCTAGGTAGTTTGTAAAGCATGGGAATGACTTGACTAGCATTGGGAAGATCATTCGCCATCAACACCAAGGATAGCTTAAAAGAGGGCTGGTTTGCTCCTGCCCCCGACATGGTTCTTCTCTGCATCCTTGGCCCTCTCATGCTTCAGTCCCATCCCTAACTGGGACCACATTTTATGGTTCTGCCCTAGGTGTCTGTCTCTCTCTCTCTCTCTCTCTCTCTCTCTCTCTCTCTCTCTCTCTCTCTCTCTCTCTCTCTCGTCGTCTCTCTCTCTCTCTTCTCTCTCTCTCTCTCTCTCTCGTGAGATGGAGTCTCGCTCTTGTTGTTTAAGCTGGAGTGCAATTGTGTGATCTTGGCTCACTGCAACCTCTACCTCCCAGGTTCAAGCCATTCTCCTGCCTCAGACTCCTGAGTAGCTGGGATTACAGGCTCCTGCCATCATGCCCAGTGAATTTTTTGTATTAGCTGGGCTAAAATAAAAAAAATTTTTAGTAGAGGTGGGCTTTCATCTCAATCTCTTGACTTCATGATCCACCCGCCTCGGCCTCTCAAAGTGCTGGGGTTACAGGTGTAAGCCATCGTGGCCAGCCAGGTATCTCTTGTTTCTACTGTTCTTTCACAAACTGTATCTGTTCTTACAGTTTCAACCATCATCTCTGCACCATTTCTAGTGCTGGCCTCCCTGCCCACTCTAGCCTTGCATTTCCTGGTGGCTATGAATCTTCCATAGCTGCATGGATCACCAGCCCCTGAAACTCAAATTGTGTGCAGTTAGACCCTTCAGATCCTCCTCCCAGAAATCAGGTCTTCCTCCCGACTCATTTCTGCTCTTTAAGTTATCCAAGCTTAAAACTTGACAGCAGTCACCTATTCCTTTTTTTTTTTTTTTTGACTCATCTTTAACTCATGTCCAAGCTCTGTTGAGTATTTCTTTGTGATATCTGACACCTATACCTTCCCAGTCCTATAACCACCATCCTACTCAAGAGTTGTTATTTCCTGTTATAGAAACAACAGCCTCTTACCTGGTCTCCTCTTTCTGGTAGCTCTCCTGGGTCAGCCTATTTTGGTATAGTTTCTAAAAACTATTCTGATTATATAGGGTCATGTATAAGGTAATATTGAGCATAGTCAAAATTACCCTTAAAAATCTCTTAAGGAAACCTGGGTATGGTGGCTCATGCCTGTAATCCCAGCACTTGGGGAGGCTGGGGTGGGTGGATCACTTGAGGTCAGGATTTCAAGACCAGCCTGGCCAACATGGTGAAACCCTGTCTCTACTAAAAATACAAAAATATGCCAGGTGGTGGCACATACCTGTAATCCCGGCTACTTGGAAGGCTGAGGCAGAAGAATCACTTGAACCTGGGAGGCAGAGGCTGCAGTGAGCTGATATTGTGCCATTGCATTCCAGCCTGGACAACAGAGTGAGACTCTATCTCAAAAAAACAGAAAATCTCTTAGGAAGATGTTATTGTTATAGTAAAATCTAACAAACTGTTTCCAGAAATCCCACAACAACAAAACTCATTTCTTAGCTGAGCACAGTGGCATGCACCTGTAGTCCAAGCTGCTCAGGAGGCTAGGGTGGGAGGATTGCTTCAGGCCAAGAGTTCCAGGCTGTAGTGCCCTGTATTTGGACCTGTGAATAGCCACTGTACTCTAGCATGGACAACATAGCAAGGCCCCATCTCTAAGAAAAAACAAAAAGCCACATTTCTTGTCTTCAGCAGGGGAATAAATTGTGCTTTCTTCTGTTAAGTACCAGCTAATGAAATTGACTTACATTTAGAAGGCATTTTTGGAAAAAAGATGTATTTTTAACACTCCCTCGATGCAAGGCAAATAAGAGTGGAAACTGACTAAGAGACTAACAGCAGATTTGTATGTCTTTGCCCATGCTCATTTCAGGCATGAGCTTATGGAAAGTTCTTCTGCTCCTCTCCTTTAAAAAACAATTATCAGGCCAGGCATGGTGGCTTATACCTGTAATCCCAGCATTTTAGGAGGCTGAGGCAGGTGAATCACCTGTGGTCAGGAGTTCGAGGCCAGCCTGGCCAACATAGTGAAACCCCGTCTGTACTAAAAATACAAAAATTAGCTAGATGTGGTGTCAGGCACCTGTAATCCCAGCTACTCAGGAGGCTGAGGCAGGAGAATCGCTTGAATCAGGGAGACAGAAGTTGCAGTGAGCCGAGATTGGCCACTGCACTCTAGCATGGGTGACAGAGCAAGACTTCGTCTCAAAAAACAAACAAAAAATAATCATTATTATTATGTTTGTTTTTGCTGAACGTATATAATCCAATGGGTGGAATTAAGCCAGATACAACAGCATTTCTCTGGTGGGTCAGCTCTTTGGGTCGAAGGGTCCACACGTCCATACCGAGGCCTTTCCCAGTGCCAGTCAGGGCTGGATGGGCAGAGAAGGAATCTGGGGCCTGTCCTCCTGAATCCTCAATTCAGCTGAAAGTCCAAGGTTTTAGAAGCTTCTCAATTCAATTCAGGACATCCAGCTCTCTGTGAAGGTGTATTTTTCAAGTCAAGAGGATATAATATATAACTTTTTAACCAAGTTGTTACCTTAGTAACTTCTAGATACTTAGACACAGGGTATAGGACCATTTGTTTGTAGTCTTGCTTTGGTCCTACACAGAATACATGGCATGTTTTCCTGAATTGGAGAGATAAGCAGCAGTGGGGGCTTTCCCACATGCCCGCACAGTGCAAATGATTTCAAATTGTTGGGAAGGCCTGTAGCCATTCTGTCTCTCTCCAAGTCTCCCAGGCTCCTGCCGTCTCCCTCTCCCAGGCAGTCTCATACTAAACTACAAGTAAATCCCAAATACTTCTTGCTTTCTGAGTAGAGAATTCAGATGTCAGCATGGCACCTGTTTTCTAGACCCTGCTACCTAAAGTGTGGATCACAGGTGGAAATGCAGCCTCTTAACTGCCTGTGAAGCTGCATTTTCTATTTTTTGATCCCTAAGGAACATAGTGGGGAAATGCTGTCAGAGAAGCAGTGGATGCTATAGGAAAATGTGAGACAGGGCAGGTGAAGAGAGGAGTAAAGACTGGGCCTTGAAGAAGAATAAGAAAATGGAAAAGAAATGGTGAGAAAAGCCAAGTCAAATTCAGGATGACAATGAACACCTAAAAGAAGAGTTTTCTCCAGGGGACCAGAACCACTATAGCCTCCTGTCTCATTCAGCAGAGTGGCTGAGGAGGGTGAGAACCAGAGGAAGACCCTACCTAGACTTGGCAACCAGGAGGCAGAGTGGAACATGGAGGTACGTTGAGGGGAGGGCCTTGGCTTGTAGGGACGGGATGGGGGCTGGAGGAAAGGACGAGAGTCTGGAGGTGGTGAGAAAATGGAATGGAGGGGAGTCTGTCCACTTCTAAGAGACAGAGGAAACAGGTAGGAAATGCCCCATGCACATTTGGATGACAAATTGACAGTAGTGGTTTATTTCCAGCCAAGCAGCCCCAGAGAGGCAGAAGGAGAGAACACAGCCAAGCAGCCCTGGGCAGAGAGAAAGAACAAGCCTGGAGGTGGAGGGGTAGCTCTGGTCTCTTCCAAGACACAAAGACCTGATCCTCCTAGAATAGCTGAATGCCACACCATACCCCTCTGCATCAGGCTGCATTGTCCACTGCTGGCTTCTGTCCTGCTGGGCCATGTCTCTGAACCTTCAGAGGTGCCCCCAGCTAAGCCACAGGAAGCCCCCAGAGGGCCTTCCTCCCTTCTCAGCCTTCCTGTCTAAGTAAGAACATGATCACATTTGGAGGAAGATAGGACAAACTCCAGGGCAAGGGGTAGGTGCCACCTGAGGGCCTGTCTGGTGCCATCTCCTTTGCCTGAGGTGCTGAGACCACAAGAATCCTGGGGCCATAGCTGCTCTCAGGGAAAGCCTGGTCACTTCCAACCCAGCATTCTTGGAACCCAGCCTCTTTTACTGTAGTCGCCTGATGGGTTTGTCTTGCAGGATGCACAGATAAAGCCAATTTACCAAGACAGCAGTATTGTAATAGAGAAATAGTTGAATAAATGGAGCCAGCTAAGCACAAGACTGGGGTTTATTACTCAAATCAGTCTCCCCTGAAATTGAGAGACTGTTTTTTAAAGAATGATTTGGTGGGCAGGGGACTAGGTAATGGGTGCTACAACTTGACTGGGGATGAAATCACAGGGAAAGTGATCTTCATGCCCCTCCAGGTGGAGGCCACAGGACCCAGCGGGGTCAATCAGTTGTCAGAAATGCAAAAGTCAGAAAAACACCTTTAAAAAAATCTTAGGTTCTACAGTAATGATGTTATCTACAGGAGTAATTGGGGACATTACAAATCTTTTGACCTCCAGAACAGTAGCTGGTTCCAATTAACTCACTCATGATCCTAACCTTGTGGACTTTCATTAGTCTCACAAAGGCAGTTTAGTTTTGGGGAGGGTTATTATCATCCTTGCTTTAAGGTGAAACCATGAACTAAAGTCCTTTCAAAGTTAGCTTAGTCTATACCCAGGAATAAACAAGAAAGGCTTGGAGGTTAGAAGCAAAATAGAGTTAGCTATGTTAGGTTTCTCTTACTGTCGTCATTTTGCAAAGGTGGATTCATTGTCTCCAGGCACTCATCTCTGCTCTCCACTCCCTCCCTGTTGCTTGGGCTGCCGGGTTCTCACCCTCCCACTCTCAGCCTCCCTTCCCACTATTTCCCTGGACTGCTTGCTCCTTCTCCGCACAGAGCTTGCTTCAAATCTAAATAAAGAAACTTAACCTAAATAAAAAATTCCTGCAGTGGAATTTGACATATGTCCCATTTGACATATGTAGAAACTGAGGCATAGAAGGCAGTTTGTTGGCATCACACTCCAGGAACACTGGTGCTGGGGTTTGAATTCCGGTGACTGGGCTCCACAGTTCCCCCCTCCCCGCCTCTGTGAAGAGACAATTTCCTCCTCAGCCTGAGATCTCCTCCACCATATTTAGGCACAAGTCTTCACAGCTGGGAATCATTTGCCCAGAGAAGGGAAGGTACAGAGGTACCCAGAAGAACAGAGGTCAGCTGCCCTTTTCAACATGTTTCTAAACTCAGACACGGCAGTGAAGTGGCCAGCCAGGATACTTTGGACTTATATGTGCTTGGCTCTGTGCCTGTAGGAGAAAGAGAGGTGGTTTCGCTTTGGGGTTTTTGAGTTTCACAGACTTAGCTGTGACCATCGTGAAGCAAACAGGAGAGTCAGAAGATAGCGTGGTGAGATAAAGCCAGTTCTCCACCCCAAAAGGAGTGGAGCAAGGGAAGCAGACGAGGAAGCAACTGAGGCAGCATCTGATGCAACGTGGACCCTCCAGGTCCCTGCCACTCCACCTTCCCCACCCACATGTCCTCTTCCGTGAGTGCCCTGTCCCAGTGGTTGGAGTGACCCCTGGCCCCATGCTGTCTCTTCTCAGGGCTGGGAGACTCTGCTGCCTCTTTCTTACCACGCTTCCCCTATCTGTGCACCAGGTGAACCTCCTTATCCTTTACCCTTTGTTCCTTTCCTCCTGGAAGAAAGTGATGCATTTCCTCTGTGAAGCCCACTGTGCCCTCTGCTTATTTCCAATGTAGCCTTTATCTGCCTTGTTAGATAATCATCCTACCCAGGACAGAGACAACGTCTTTCTATCCTTGGAGCCCCTGACACCTCGTGGACCCTCGTGTTGAAGTGATGTGGAAGGAAGGGCTGGGAAGAGAAGGACGTGGTCCTTTTAAATAGTATGGAAGAGGGAAAGGGAAGTGCTGGGTAGAGGGGGCCCTCTGGTTACGGCTCCACCCCCAACCCGTGCCCACAGACCTAGGTGAAGACAGGGATTTTTGTTCTCCTACACAAATGTTGCTTTTCCCAAGACCACCCTGGCCTGCCATGTCCCCTTCCTGTGCCTATAAAAACCCCAAGACCCTAGCAGGCAAACACACAGGCAGCTGGATGTCAAGAGCACATTGATAGGCACCACAGGCCCACAGGGCACCCACCAGCAGAAAGACTTGGAGTTTTAGCTCGGGTGGTCAGAGAGGAGTTGGCTGCTGAGCAGCTCGACTCCAGGGGAAAATCTTCCCACTCAATCCCCTTCTGGCTTCTCCCATCTGCTGAGAGCTACTTCCACTCAATAAAACCTTGAACTCATTCTCCAAGTGCAGGTGTGATCTGATTCTTCTGGCACACCAAGGCAAGAACCCCAGGATACAGAAAGCCCTCTGTCCTTGCAATAAGACAGGGGTTCCATTGAGCTGACTAACACAAGCCGCCTACTGACGGTGAAACTAAAAGAGCATCCTGTAACACATACCCACTGGGGCTTCAGCTATACACATTCACCCCTGGATACTGCCGTGGGGTCAGAGCCCACCAGCCTGCCCATCTGTGTGCTCCCCTCAAGGTTTGAGCAATGAGCCACATCCCATTGCATGCCCTGTGAGGGACAGGGGAACGTTTCCTGTTTCAGAGACACCTGCTAATGCCTTTTTTTTTTTTTGAGTCTCACTCTGTCACCCAGGCTGGAGTGCAGTGGTGCCATCTCTTCCTCCTGGTTCAAGCCATTCTCCTGCCTCAGCCTCCTGAGTAACTGGGATTACAGGTGCACACCACCATGCCAGGCTAATTTTTGTATTTTTGATAGAGACAGGGTTTCACCATGTTGGCCAGGCTGGTCTCGAACTCCTGACCTAGTGATCTGCCCGCCTCAGCCTCCCAAAGTGCTGGGATTACAGGTGTGAACCACCGTGCTGGCCCCTACTAAAGCATCTTAACTGTTGTGTATATACTGCTTAGAATGAACATATTCTTTGGAGCAGGAGTATGGGGAATGTCTTGCAGCTTCCTAAGCCATGAAGACAGACACCATTCCTTCCTCAGACTGTGCTATCCACCAGCCTCTTCTCCTTGATGAACAGGGACACAACGCTAGAAGAAAAAGGGAGTTCTGCCACAGACCTGCTGTTTGTCTATCCTTCCGAGATTGGCTCCAGGTGTGTGTGGATGCATTTTGGCTCCATGGTAAATGGGTGTTGGAGGGAGAGGGTAGTGTGTTTAGATTCCTGCTCTGCCACCTGTGAGTGGTGAGGCTTTGGGAAAGTACCTGACCTTGTAGAGATTCTGCTTTCTTACTTGTAAAATACATTCTTCATAGGGATGCTGTGAGAACAAATGACAGGTACCATAAGGATTCAGGGGTTGCCTATTTCCTTCTTAGCACAGTCTAGTGATTTTGTCTGTATGCTTACTTTTCATTCTCGGCCTCATCTATTAGATGATAAGCTTGAGAAGAGCTGGGTCTTATGCTCATTGTTGTTCCCTGGAGCCTAGTGCAGTGCCTGTCACAGAATGAATGAATGAATGAATGAATGAATGAGTGTGCATTGAGTAACGTACTGTGATAGTACATTAGTTTGAGATTCCAGCCTCTGAATTTTATCTCATCTGAGTTCTGTTCTCCCTGAACTTGAGTAAATCACTTTTTCTCTGTCTCTATTCTAGTTTCCCCAACCTTTAGGTGAAGTAAATTTAACCTTTTTCTTCTTGATAGGAGTATTATTAGGACCTACTCGCTAACATGTCCAAAGTACTTAGGGCTTCTCAGATGAAAGTTTCTATTGAGCAGATATGATTAACCTCAGGGAGTTCCTTGATTTTCCCCCAAATACAGGATATATGGCAAGTGTGGTTTTTGCTTTTTCTGAGGCTATCAGGAGACTGCAATAGTGGATCCCATCTAGCAGTTGTTTATTGATATAGGAAACTAACTAATGTTTCTGAAAGGCATCTTCCTTGATCTGGTCTCTATTTTATGATGTTTCAAAAGAGCTTACTCACAGCCCTCCATGCTTCTGTTTGTTGGCAACAGGAGTGCCCTGTTGCTAGGAAGTTCACTTGGGCATTCACCCTCCACAACGTAGGTGCCAGACCCAAAGGGAGAAAGGAATGGGGACCACATGCGGTAAGAAGGTTCTCTGGGGACCGCTTGCCAGTGGGTGGGCACACAGCCACCGGTGCCATCACTGTGCCTCCTTGCAGCTGCTCAGGGGTTCCTGGAGCTGTGTGACCATTGTCCTTATGTGGCAGTCAGTACCCACGGTCGGCTTCCTGCTGTGGCCATGGCAGCAACAGTAGCCACAGCATAGAGGAGAGGGGATGTGGTAAAGGCCGGTGACATGGCACTTAAACCAGACCTTCAGACATTGGTAGAACATGGACAGGTGAGCCTGAGGAAGAGCAGCTTTCTAACCAATGGCCTGGTGCAAACCAAAGCACAAAGTCGCAATGAGGATAGACTGCACCCAGGGCTTTGGTGATGTGCTGTCACTGGTGACGGCTGATGACGACCAGAAAGAACTGCTGTCTAAAGTGACAACAAAAACAGAAGACACCCAACCAGAGGGTCTGTGAACGAGGAGGAGGCCGGCAGACGGGGGGCAGGGTGATTGAGCAGGGGAATGCTGGCAGAGGGACACATGGTGATTAGGAGGGGGAGGCTGTCAGAGGGGGGGCAGAGTGATTGAGCAGGGGAATGCTGGCAGAGGGGCACAGGGTGATTGAGGAGAGGGAGGCTGGTGGGGGGATGAAGGGTAACTGAGGAGAGGGAGGCCAGCAGAGGGACACGGGGTGATTGAGGAGAGGGAGGCCAGCAGAGGGACACAGGGTGATTAGAGAGGGAGTAACCTGGAGTTGGGAAGGCCAGGCACACCAGATGGACAATTAGACCTGGAATAAGCTGGCGGCAGTAGAAGAGGAAAGAAAAGGATGACATACTTTGAAGACCATTGCAAACATGACGTAACTTGTTCCTTGAGTAGACCTGCAGTGTGAAGCCATGAGCTGAATTACTAATACAACATGACATTTGGGAGCCAGCTTGTAGGTGAGATGCCCTCCTCCATCCACCTCTCATTCCTTTAAAAAGGATTAGCTGAAGGCTTCCCTGAGGCTCTGGCCAGTGATGTTCATGACTTGAAGGTGGGAGCCATCGCGAGGGAAGGCTGTCCTCCGTTACTACTCATCTGGCAGAAACTTTACAGACAACACTTTTCCAGATTTGTCTTCATTCTTCATAACATCTTGGTATTTTAATATATTTCAGGTTAATGGAATTCAAGAACATAAATTAAATTCAAGCAGGGATAATACAGAGAAAACACTATGATCCCCGTAAGTCAGTCTTTTTAATTGCCTAAAGTTTTAACCAAGTCCCAGAGCTCTGGCTAATGATGAAAGAGATAACAGAACAAACTCATCTCTTGTGGAGCAGATGGAGCTTGTGACTCTAGGACACTCCCGGAGGGAGCCAGGGATGACCATCTATGGATCTCAAAGTGGCAACATTTGCAAACCAGGACCCAGGAGCCCATTTAACAAATGTCAGGGCAGCCTGAAGAGAGGAATGGAAGGCAGAAACATCTGGGAGTGTTTAGAAGTTGGAAACCGATCATTTAGAAGAAGACAGAGAAGAATTCCCTTTACTTCTCAATAAATCATCACCACATTATTTAATAGCCTCCTCTCCATTGGCCTTTTATTTTTCAATCTCCCTCATCCTCCCTCTCTCTCTAACTGCATTTATACACAGTTATTAAAGCAAATATTTATATGAGTTTGATTTCTACATGTATAATGTGGAAATGTTGGCATTATTCTTCCCAGGACACCAAAGTTTATGTGAGGTCAAACAATAAAGGAAACAAACTGTCTCCTTTGTGCCTGCCCTCCTTCTGTCTCCAGGGAAGAGCTCTTTTTGGTGGAGGTGATCGTGAGGACTTCCTGGAGGAGGGGGCATTTGAGCAAGTTCTTAAGGATGGGATTACTGTAGCTGGAGATAATGAGGTAGGAATTCCAGATGAAGGGAAAAAAGAATAAATAACTGATTCTAGAGTTATTTACAGGCATACCTTGTTTTATTGCATTTCACTTTACTGTGCTTTGCAGATATTGTGTTTTTTACGAATTGAAGATTCATGGCAACCCTGCATCGAATGAGTCTATCAGCGCCATTTTCCACAACAGCATGTGCTCACTCTGTCTCTGTGTTAGCATTTTTTTGTCAATAAATTCTTTTCAAAATGATGTATGTACTTTTTAAAAGACATAACGTCATTGCACACTTAATAGGCTACAGTGTAGTAGTGCAAACACAGCTTTGATATGCACTGGGGAACCACAACGTGTGTGTGACTTGCTTTATTGTGACATCTGCTTTATTGCAGTGGTCTGGAACTGAACTTGAACTATCGCTGAGGTATGCCTGCATATATTTTTATAGAGGCTAATCATCTTAAAAGCCTGTCTAAACGTAACACTTCAGGTAGGTAGAAGATGTTTATTGTTTCTGGGAAGTTGTTTAGCATTTTTCTCAGAGCAGTTGAGCCGGATGTCTTTGCTAAGTATGGTATAGACTGAAAGAATGTCCAGCTTTGAGCCTCATGTGCATCACATGGTTTTGCCCAGAGAAGACAATTCCAGGCTATAGATGCAGAGAGTGCCTCAGACCCAACATCACTTAACTTGATGACAAACCAGTGTCTCAGGGAAAATGCTCCCTACAATTGAAAAAATAGCCCAAAATATCCAAAGCACATTTTCTGCCGAGAGTAGTTTGGAACATCATCTTCTTGCCTTCCCTTTCTGGCCCTGTCCCTCTGTCTTTGTCGTGAACACTGTTCTTCAATTATGCAGTGACTCCCCTAAAGAAACCAAGGCTCACTCTCATGCACTCCCATGCTGTACTGGTGCTGGGGGTGGGAAGAGCAGAATAGTCCCGCTGCAGGGCAGCATCTGGAATAACCAGTTACAGATGCAGGCATGAGTCATCGACCTCTGGGAACCTCACCTGCATCTGTGCTGAAAGCTCACGCAGGGCAGGCCAGCATGATCTGCTGCCCACTGCCCTACCAGGGCTCAGGGCGCCTGGAGACCTCCCTCCCCAGGCTGCCATGTGTTTGCCACAGTGCATGGTATTTCATTAGCAGTTTGGCAATGGGCTCATGCAATGTTGGAGCTGGTCTCTCAGCTGTAAGAAGCCGGCTAGGATGCTGCCCCGTGGCTTCTCCCTGACCTTGCAGGGCAGCTCTGGAGGAGGACAGGCTCACAGATAACTGTTTTGAAACAGCAAATTCAGTCGACACCCATTTGTACCAAGGGCCTATGTGGCATTCAGTTATGTAGTAGGCACTCTGGGATGGGTGACAGAAAAAGAAGGGAAGAACCCTGCCCTTATCTTTGGCTAAGATGAAAGACCTGGAATAGCCATAGATAAACACTGAGGGCTGTACGTGCAGGTAGACATGACCCAAGACAGCACCTGTGAGCTGAGCAGACACAGAGTCTGGGAGGCTGGGGTGGCTGGTGTGTGCTGAGCCAGCGCCTTCATATATGTCACCTCTGTCATTTGACATGCTACCCTAGAACATGGTTACCCCTTCTTAAAAAGGAAGAAACTGAGGCACAGACAGGGATTTAGCAGAAGATTGTTGTGAGCCACACTTCACCCTTGAGCTCACCTTTGACGTGGGCAGGTGGCTGATGACAGCGCCCCACTTTCAGCACATCCCACTTCACTGTCTCAGGGCCTTTCTCCAAAGCATTTGAGTCTTGTCAGCCCACAGGCCTCCCAGGGGTTCCCCAAGGGCACCCTTCAATGCTGGGGAATAGGAATTGAGTCAATAAAGATCCCAGCTTCCCATTCTTTGGGAGGCCAATGCTGAGGGGCTTTTAACACGGTTCACAGAGTGCCATGTGTGATCGATCTCCAGTAGCCCAGTGGTGATGGGCTCAATGACACATAATTAGTGGATTTTTCCTACTTCCCACCCCTCATTCCAGCTTCCCTGGATCACTTCCCAAATTAACAACACACATCCAAGTCCACATGATAATCTCAGCTTTTAGGGTAGCCCAAGGTAAGATAACAGGCTAAGGAGCTTGTTTAATGTCATCTGTGAGGCTGCAAAGTGCCTGAACCAGGACATAAACAAACCTAGGGCTTCTGCCTCCCACAAAGGTTCTCTGGGCCCTGTGTGACCCTGTCTCCCTGGAGCGGAAATTTCCCAAGAGTGCCGAGTTTTGAGCCAGACTTTGAAGAAAGTAATGGATATCCCTGGCATGGGAGAAAGAGACAGTGTTCTGGGCAGCATGAAAGATCTGATCAAAGGCACAGAGGAGAGACCTAGAAAGCTTTGGAAGGACAGCGAGAGGCAGACTCCCTGGACTTCGGCTGCACAGAGGTGAGGGGAGGAGGTGACAGATGAGAGAGCAACTGCTCCACTCTCACTAGAGTCACCCGCAGCTCCTGAGTCAGGGAGTGACATGACACTAACAATATCGGGGGTACGATGAGGTGGTGCAGTGAGGAACATGGATCTGAGCAGCCTGGGACTCAAAGGTGGTGATGCTGACTCTTGTCCTCATGAACAGTTGTCCACCAGGTCATTCTGATTTCCTGTAAGGCAGCAAAGGGCACCCTGAGTACAGGCTTTGTTCTAAGGCATGCTTGTTTGTGCTCCTGGATTGCTGGAGGCTCTAGTCTGGCCACATGTCTGAGAGTCATGACAGGAAGCAACACTGTATTCAAGGGTGATGACACGCTACCCTAGAACACTGGTATAGTTACCCCATCTTAAACAGGAAGAAATGGAGGCACAGACAGGTATTTGGCAGAACTTTTGTGAGCCATGCTTTATCTTTTTTTTTGAGACCGAGTCTTGCTCTGTCGCCAAGACTAGAGTGCAATGGTGCGATCTCAGCTCACTGCAACCTCCACCCCCCATGTCCAAACAATTATCCTACCTCAGCCTTCCAAATAGCTGGGATTATAGGCATGACCTACCACGCCCAGCTAACTTTTTGTATTTTTAGTAGAGACAGGGTTTCGCCATGTTGGCCAGGCTGGTCTTGAACTCCTGACCTCATGATCCGCCCACCTCAGCCTCCCAAAGTGCTGGGATTACAGGTGTGAGCCACCATGCCTGGGTCACACTTTACCTTTGAGCCCACCTCTGATGTGGGCAGGTGGGTGATGACAGTGCCCCACTTCAAGTGCATCCCATTTCACTGTTTGGGGGCTTTTCTCCAAAACCTTTGAATCTTGTCAGCCCCCAGGTCTCCCAGGGATGCCCAAGGGCAAACTTTCAACCACGGGGAATGAGAGTTGAGTCAATGGATAAAGATCCCAGCCTCCTATCCCACAAATCTCAAAGTGTGGTCTCAGGACCGGCAGACCAGCATCATTTGGAAACTTGCTAAAAACAAAAGTTCTTGGCCAGGTACACTGGCTTGCGCCTGGAATCCCAGTGCTTTGGGAAATCGAAGTAGAAGGATTGCTTGAGTTTAAGACCTGTTTGGGCAACATAGCAAGATCCTTACTCTATTAAAAAGAAATAGAAAAAAAAAAGGGGGTTCTTGGTACCTACTGGGGACTTAATGAGAAACGGTCAGGGTGGTGCCCTGAACTCTGAATTAAAAAGACCACTCTGCCATGCTCATGCTTGGAAAACAAAGCTCAAGGCGCGGAATGTCTCTGCTGGTGTGTTCATCTTGTTCTTCATGGTCCTCAAGTACTCCTTCAAGCCAACCCGGGAAAGAAAACACAAGTTAGTTCTTCGATAGCAGGTTCTCATTAAAACATAGACAAAGCATCTAACTAACAGAAACATTTCTAACTAATGGACATCTGACTAATGTGATTTCATAGTACCTGTAGCAGAGAGGTTAAAAACAAATTTTCCCAATGTTAAAAACAAAATTGCTCTGAAGATATTTTGTTAGAAAAAAATATACAATGCCCTTTCCTACTCTCTTTTGGAGTATATACACCATCTCAAAATTCTCTCTCATGTAAAATACCGAAATTCTAACCTTATGCCATTAGAAAAATTATAAATATTTTCATTGTATCCCAATGATAAAAACAAAATTGCTCTGAAGATACTCCATTAGAAAAAATATACAATGCCCTTTTCTATTCTCTTCTGGAGTATATACACCATCTCAATATTCCCTCTCATGTAATACCGAAATTCTAACTTTACGCGGTTAGAAATAAATATAAATATTCTCTTTGTACCCCAATGTTAAAAACAAAATTTCTCTGATGATACTCTGTTAAAAAAATATACAATGCCCTTTTATACTCTCTTTTGGAGTATATACACCATCTCAATATTCTCCCTCATGTAAAATACCGAAATTCTAACTTAACGTGGTTTAAAAAAAATATAAATATTCCCTACGTACCCCAATGATAAAAACAAAATTTCTCTGAAGATACTCTGTTAGAAAAAATATACAATGCCCCTTTCTTCTCTCTTTTGGAGTATATACACCATCTAAATATTCCCTTTCATGTAAAATACCGAAATTCTAACTTTACATGGTTTATATATAATATAAATATTCTCATTGTACCCAAATGTTAAAAACAAAATTGCTCTGAAGATACTCTGTTAGAAAAAATGTACAATGCCCTTTTCTATTCTCTTTTGGAGTATATAAACCATCTCAA